TTTTGTTTGATTCTGAAATTGACAGTGGTCTTGTATGGGTGGTGTTTTGCTCGTGTCCTGCTCTAATCGCTGTTATGGGCAGCCTGTCTATTTCTTTTCCTTCCTTTTCTCTCTCCATCTTTCTTTCTTTATCTTTATCCTTCTTTTCTGCTGCTCTGTTCCTTTCCCTCACAACGAAGTCTTACAGGGATATCTGGAACAACTTGTAAACTCATTTAGCACTTTGAACCTTGCACGTTGCGAGCTTTGATGGAACACGAGGAGGGGAGTAAGGAAGACTTGCAGGGCATAACTGGCGCGTCTACCGGCACCGACAACAACCATGCTCCAGGTGACAGCAGAGTCAAGAAGCGTAGCAGAAAGAGAGATATGGAAAGCGGAAGCTCTCTTCAGGGACGGCTGGGCCCAACAGTGGCGGAAACTGGGAAGACTGGTGGATCAATGGTGCAGCTGCCTGAGAAGCATGCGTCACACGAGTCTGTTTTGAATCCTTTGCTGTACCGTGATCCGCATGCGGGCTCTTCATCTGCTGTGGATGCTTCTGATGATGGCGCTCCTGATGTGACCCTAACGGAGAAGAGTCTTGAGATGAAGCTGGATGTGGTTGATTCCAATGATGGGGTTCTTTGCAATGATTCTGAGGTTCGAGCCGAGGAGTCAGTTGGTGTTTCGGAGGAGAACGCTACACAGGTTAGGCCTCCCAGTGCTGATTTTCCCCTGTCCAAGCCATCACCTTATCATGAGGCGTTGTTGTCATCGACAATCCACACACCGCGTGTTGCACTACCAGTGCGCGAAGAGCCGAAAAGACTGAGCATTTCTCTTCGTTGCTGGGTGTTGTGTCCACTCGTGTTAATTTTATTGTTGGTTGCAGTTTTGACGCTAACAGTGGCAACCGTGTCGTCACGCGATAGCTCTGTGGGTTTATTTAAGTCACTGCAAGAGCTGGTGGTGTCTAACATGGAATCATCTGTGGGTCAATCGTCATTCTCGAAGATGATGCAGATGGCACAATCAACGGGGAGCATGTATTTCTCGAACAACACCTTCGTGAATTCCTCTACAGACAAACTGATGCCACTTGAGAATGGAATGATGTCGCGTCTATGTGCTCTTTTGCGCGATATGGATCCGGAAAAGGTAGTATCTGCCATGAGTGCTGTGTCCTTGACAAGGAAAGAAGCCACGATGTGTTGTAATTCTCGCATACGCCCTGGTTTATATGTTGGAACAACAAGCAAAAATGGTTTTATGAGTGATTTACACTTTGTTGACCCGCTTACATTGGATTATGCAATCCCCCTACAACGGCTTCCTATGCTTCAAAAAGAAATGAGTGTGGACACTTTTGCTGCTATTCAACGCTACGATACTGTGGTAAAGCCTTGGAAGGAATCACTTCAAAAGGGTGAGGTGATGAATGCGTCACAGTATTGGGTAACGCCATCTAGACCTCCAACATATCTAGAGTATGTTTATCCGTTTTTGGAATCGTACGAAGATGGTACTACTGGTGTTGCTTACTTGGCTGTTTCTATGTTGACTGACAATATGCCAAGCATGCAGTTGTACAAAGCAAACGAAACTGGCATTCGTGTGATGCTTGTGGAGCCCAACGCCACAGCAGAACGATTCCTTGTTTTTGGGAACAATTGGGGTCAACCACTCTCCAACGTCACGAATGTGTGGAAATCGACTATTAGAGGTGAGCCAATCAGATTTATGTATACTGACGATGTGACTGATCCCGTGATGCGCGAGGGACTGAAACACATTAACCTGCGTGACGTCATGAGTGTTGGTCAGAAGGTCGAAAAACGATTTTTGTACGGCGGGTTCGATGCACGTATCACGGCTAAGTATGTTGTCACTGAGAGTGGTGTGGAGTTGGTACTTGTGGTTGTTACCGACCGTAGCTACTATCTGGGGCCCGTACTGTTTCACCGTGATGTTACCTTTATTGGCGAAGCCATTGTATTGCTATTGGTGACTGTTATTTGTATTATATTTGTGGAGTGCTGTATGGTTCGCCCTCTCCGTGCAAATCGGTCGAAGCTGAAGATGGCGCTCAGTGGCACATCTGTGACAACCACAAAACATCGCAGTGTTGCGCTGCGTGAGGTGCGAGAGCTGGAGGATGTGTGTGACACGTTGCGTCGTCGTCTTGACAAGATCC